CAAGAAGCTCGCGACACCATTATGGGTCTTGTTCATCCGGCCAAGAAGACAGTTAGTCCTCCGCCTTCGACTGGCTGCGGAATATTTCATTTCGTCTGCCGCCAGACGTATCATGAATCAACCAATCGCTTCAGCACCTAAGCTACTATACTAGTACCACGATAATCTCGTCTACTCGTCGCTCTACCATTTCGCGTAAGGTCCGGCTTTCGAAAACGCTTTGATGGCAGTATCGAGCATAGCGGTGATTTGGTTAAGACATTGTGCAAAAGTGCTCTTCACATCCTTGGGCCCGAGGACCACTATACCGCCATCGCTGAGTCTGAACCCTGGGGTGGTGGTCACGGGTGTGATATCCCTGGTGGTGGGTGTCCTGGCCTTCCTCGTGGGAGGAGAGAACTTGCGGGGGCTTAGATAGCCCAAAAGGTCGGGCGGCTTCGGGGCCGCCAATCTAATCGTGTGGGGAATTCCTCAAGCTATCGCTGAACATCCGGACACTCAGAAGCAATGCTTACCAGAGCGTCAAGAGCCTCTTCCTCCAAATTCCCCACAACAGGAACAGCAACGTATGGCTATGAAGTCAAACCGGATCGTGCATACCATAAGGATATTGAGGACGAGGAATCAGTGACGGCTCCTCTACATCGCAAGACGACCTGCCAGTAATGGTATGCCGACCGCGCGTCGGGGAGCGCACCTTTGGAGGCGGCTTCATTGTACTATTCAGCAAGACGTCGCCCGCTTCCTGCCCAGGCGCCACGACGATTCTGGCGCGGTATGAACTCGTGCACATCAAGATACACCAGGATGATCGTGGTTGATTAAGAGGCTGGATGCCACCTCCTATTGACAGTCGAATTGATGTCGAACGTCTCGAGCTCGACGCGACTTTCATCACGCGACCGCCCACGATCCTCTTGTTCCATTCTCTTCCTCTTCAAGTCGCCACAAGGAGAGAATGACCAATTTGGCGCGCGGCATGACAAAATATTGGACCACTGTGGATTAATACGGGACGACTTCCAGGGCAGAATTCAATCCAAAATACCCGGATTTGAGCAGTGCGTCCAGGCCATGGACAGCAAGAAACCCGCTGCCTCCAGTGAGCAAGACTTTTATGACGGAGAACAAATTCAAACACTGCTCCCTAGCACTTCTGTTGCTCGTTCAGGTTGTCCGGGAGATTTCTCGAGCAATGCAATCAGACAATTCCCGGCCACATCTCTGCGAACTTGTTGCGTCTCAAGCGTCTCAATCAACGGCTGTCGGACTCGTCTTGAGGTTTCTTTGGCGACGCGTCTGCGGCGGTGGGAGTTCTCTGCCGAAGCACCTGTTTGGCGTTGGCTTGAACATATTGTAGGCGGCCAATATTCCAGGCAAAGCCGGTGTGCTTCTCACGGCACCCCAGTGTCTTGCGATCAAGACACGAGGGACAACGCCCATCCCATCATGCGAGAACAGCGCCTATGCGCCTCGTTGAGTAGTCCGCTATCCGTATCCCTCGGGCTGCGACACTTCAGCCTGACCGATACACAGAACCAGCAGCAGGTCCTTCTTGTGCAAGCTTCAGATGACAGCCCTCTACGCCCAGAACTTGTGCACTGGTCCTTTCGTCGCGGCAAGGCCACGAACGCCTCGTGCAGCCTCGCCGAGAACAACCGCAGGCGGGATCAATATCCGGCAACCTGGACGAGAGTTGTCGGGTGCCCCGGTGGCCCGAGCAGAGGGACCCAGCCTAGGGCAAGAAGACCACTCGGGGTGCCTATTTGATACCAACCTACTGCTGGGAGCTGGACAAGCATTCAGACAGTTTCTCTCCGTGTCTCTACAGTAGCTGCTGGCTGGCTGGCTGGCAGCATCATGTGTGTCACCATCTTGTCAAGAGGGAAGCTTCTGATTTGTGAGCTTCTTGATGGCCCCTCGTCCTCATCCTCTCGAACCGCATCTACCTAACGCGTCTCCCGCGAGACTCCCCTAAAAGATTCCACAAGCTTTGTCAGGGTGAACAAACGCCTCCCCTCTTCTTGCCTTGGGTGGCTGATCGGAATTGACGAGGTTTCGATGGCTTGGGCCCAACGGTTGCGGTGGGAGGACCACCACTACCACCACCACCACCGTGCCTGTCGGGGATCCTTTCTGGCTTATTCTTACAGGTGCTGGAGCCTGGGCCGCACTGCTCATCGGCAGCGACCTTGTTTCTAGCCCATCGCCAGTCAACGAGGGCGTTCGGTCCAAAGCCTCGGGGTGATTCAGCCACCCTCAACCAAACCACGATTTGCTTCACCTGAACGAACCTTCCTCGGTCAGCATTCCAACGTGCAACCAACCCTCCTTTCCTCGGCGAATGTCCTCCGCACTGAGCATGCCTGCAGGACCTATGGCGGCATGATTTCCAACCCCTACCCCAATCCCATTGACGAGATTTGCCGACTCTGTCGTCCAGATATCCTTTGTCCCACACCAGAGCGCCAACCCCAGGCTGCACGTTCGCCAATGGAACCTGGCGACTCTCCTTGGCCGCGGCGTATTAGGGGCGTATTCCGCGCAGAGTGTGGAGGAGTTGCCGGAGAGTGGGGACTGATATGCCCCGAAATGCCTCTCGTTTTGCATGATGAGATCGACACGCTTCTCAGAGGGGACTGCGAGGTGTTGTACAGCATCTTTGAATGGCCCATGCATCCTTCCTCCACCCTCATATTGATCGGGATTGTCAATGCTCTGGACCTACCCAGACAGGACCCAGTCAACTAGGAGAAAGGCTAATACCTATTCAACGCTGTCATATTGCTGGAATTGCTGGAATTGGATCAACATAGCAAAGATCCTGAGGCCGGGGCTTTCCATCAGCACATCCGCCGACGAGACGTGGAGAACGGCCAGGACTGTGGTAGCAGCAGTATTGTTAGAGGGCAAAGCCTCACAGTACCGAACCAAGGCCAAGAAATATCTCCTGGGGACGTCAAATACCACCAGATCGGCGAACCATCAGAAGACTTTGGTGTATGGATCGACCGATCCAACGCTGGACGAGCGGTGGCGGCAGATGAAGGCCTGGAGGAGTCTGCGGACGAGCCACAACAAACAGAGAGTTTCTTTTTAGGGTCCCTCCTCCTCACTCTCACGTTGAGACTCGGTCGAATCGATCGAATCCTCAAGCGCCCTGTGTCGATCTCGCACGAGTCTCTCAGTTGCCATTGACTTGGAAAAGAGACATCTTCAAGAGCTTGTTTATGCGGCATTGCATGCGTCTTCAACCAAACACACTCCTGAAGAGGCGCTTCACTGCTTCAGCAAGCGATTGCCAGTTTTCCTCCTCCGCAGAAAACCCACCCAGGGGTTTTCCATGGGAACGAATAGCCTGTCTTGCCATCCAACCTCAAGAACAGTTCCCATTTCGCCTTCCAACTAGCACCTCCTTCAGTTCAATCGGTATCAGCGTTTTACCCGTGGAAATCTGACCTTCATTACGCTGACAACGTCTATATCGAAACCGGCCTTGAAATCATTCACCCATGCGAAGACAAACCGGACCGTGCTAGCGAATTCCTTGCGGGACCCGCCGGTCGTCCCACGAATGTCGATGTTTTTGAGCACGGCGTTCATGGAATGGAACAACATCTTGGGGGCAACCCGCCACTTGGGTGCTTCTTTCCCACGGAGTGCCCCTTTGTATGATTTGGGTTCTGGCAATCTTGAGGGATCGACGCGTTGCGTCTCGCCATGAATGCCTGTGTCTTAAGATGTCGACCATTCTTTGACTTTGTGGACGGACCAACCGATTTCAAACTGACTTGGCTGAATATCTTTGTCCAGAATGACCTTGGAAAGGCTGACCTTCGAAACATTCAAACAAGAACTGTTTCAGAACTTGCCCAGACCTGATGGCTCCTATCTTCCTCGATCGGCCACCCGGGAGTCTCAGTTGTACAAAAGAATCTTGGGCCAGTCTCTGCGACCCCTTCTTTCAGCAGTTCTAGATCCATCAACTCCTCCTCGTTCGGTGGTCTCAGCTCTGGAACAATCTGACCCTCGCTGGAAAACTCCGCACCTGATCTTTCTCGACTATCTAGATCTCATCGCCTGCAAGAACAACGCCCCCCCTCCCACCCTCGGCTGCACACCCCGATTCCCTGCTCCTCCAGACAATAGCCCACGAGTATCACTTCCTGAAGAGATTGGACATCCTCCTGTGGCAAAAGATGATATGGGCATGGCCGAGTGGAATTCTGTTTGCTTGCCTGCGCATTGCCAGCCGTCACTAACCCTCTGTTACGCGTTTTCTCCCTTCACTGCCTGCGCAAAATTTCAATCTCTTGGCGACTATGAGATCGATCCTAATTTCACTTCCTCCTTTATTCTTGCACCTCTGAACCTCTTTACACCGTCGGCAGGATGGAGGACTCCTGAAGGCAGATCAACATGGCGAACAGTTCGCTGGGACGGCTGAATACAGCCGAAGTGCTGCCAAAGTTCAGTCAGCATGAGTTGGATCAGGCTGACATTCGACCACTTGGAAGTGGGCAGTACGGACTTTCCTGGATCACGTTTTGCAGATGGGTCATGCATGGCCCGCAGACTGCTGCGACTCAGAGTGGTCTCGAACGAGCGTCGAAAACTGGTACTTGAGGAAGTCCTAGTCAGGGCAATCTCCCATCCGGCGCAGAGGGTGAGTCAATAACGCCAGTTTGCTTGAGGAAACCTTGGGCCCGCCAAACCAAATCGAGGTCCGATTTTCAAGAGAATTATACTCATCGAACGTCTTTGATCATGTACGGAAGGCTCCTCTGCGCCGAGGAGGAGGAGTGGGAAGGGTAGTTGTGAGCCTCTTGCCTCCCTCCATTCAGCAGAGCAAGCGGAAGGAAAGCACATATCAACAACATGGAAAGGCTGGAAAGAGAAAAGCGTGGCGAGGGATCTGCTGCTTGACAGCCCGCATTCCCGCCAGAAGTCATTCAAATGCCAACGCCTTCATTCCAGTACCCCTGTCTACGACCAGGTCGATGCCGGACTGCTACTACTACCCCAATCCCTTGCACCGAGTCCACGAAGCTATATACCTCTCATCGAACAAAACAACCACAAGATTCAGCCCCGTGAAGAAGAAGAAGAAGAAGAAGAAGAAGAAGAAGAAGAAGAAGAAGAAGAAGAAGAAGAAGAAGCCCCATTCCTCGGTCAGGCTGGGCGGGCTTCAGGTGAACGTTTTTGGTCAGATTGTCGGCCCAAGATTCTGCCAGGTATTCAGGGGATTCGACAGCCAAATCCGGATTTGGACCAAAACACGGAAGAAGCAAAATGCGGATCTGTTGAATCTGCTGAATCTGATGGGCCTCTCCTTGCTCCCAGAAGGTCACAGCAACCCCGGAACCCGCGACCACAGCCAAACTCCAGGTGATGGCAACAATTTCATTGCCCCTGCATGACGCCAATAAGAGCGGCCAACGCTTCTTCCGCCACTTTGCCGCGGGAGCTGGCTCGCTCCCAGCGCTCATGTTTCTTCTTTGTCATTCGATCAACCTAAGCCAGGCGGACCAAGACGGGCTGGAAATCTTTGCACTGGGGCCTGCCGGCAGCGGAAGTTGAATGTTGTCGACGACATTCTTGAAGCGGGCGGGCGGATGGGTTACAAAGATTCAACCATATCTCTCCGCCTCTCGACCTCGACTTACGTCGCAGAGTTCTACAGCATCCTGTCTAATCGGTTCAGCCGCATTTCCCACGCATGGATCCCGAAGCCGTAGCCGATCTCCTCGAGGTTGAGGCCGTCGAGGTCGATGAAGAGGAGGAATTCGAAGACGCATATGAAACAACCATAGCAAGATTCAGCAGAACGTCACCGGACAAGAACCGGATTGTTACAGAGAGAATTCTGTTGTGTGAACCGTCCGCCTAATCAAAGTCATCCATGGCGAGGATGCCGGAAACCCGTGCACGCACATTTGCGCTGTTCGAATGCCATGTTCCACGCGAAGAGACTCAGTATCGCACAAGCACCATAACGCGCAGTCCGCACCGTCCAATCGTTCCTCCTTCCACGAGCACGAGAGCTATCAGCAGCAGTGGACTGGATGCAGTGGAATCTCTTCGAGACCGGGGGCCAGCACAGCGGCATCGTCCCACGGTCCTTCCGCGCCGCGGTACTGCTGCTGGAGCGGAAGGACAGCGACACGTCTCCCGCTTGCACGGCCAACATTGGACCTGAAATTCAACAGATCGTTTTGGGCAATCAAGAACCCCAGAAGATCAAGAACGTGAAGGACGAGCCAGTGTCCATTTCGACCCCGCGGAGTCCCCCCGACAATGGATCGCTGGGATGCCAAATTGTATGAGTGCACTCTCGGGTATCCGGCCGCAGGATGAATACCGTGTTCTCTATGTTCAAGAAATTCTAGGATGCGTAGGACACGAAGAAGGATCACCAAGATGCCAACCAGAACCCAGCCAGAACAATCTACTAGGAAGAAGTCGTTGTTGATATCTGGGGATCAAACAGCTGGAGCCGAACCTGGGAAAGATGCCGACACGCCTACATTTTGCGAGTGGAAATTCCCGGACGCCGATCCCCTTGATGTCTTGGTGCCAGAGGACCAGATCCATGACAGCCTGTGCCCAGCTCATTTGCACTACCAGACCAATCGAGCACTCTACTGCACTATACTGCACCCTTAAGCTCAGTCCAACAAGGATCAGTTACGGCCCGGCCAATATCTTATGTAGCTCGATCGGCCCTCCCCTCCAGCCAGGAGGCGTCAGCTGTGATCAATGTCCCGCGGTCCCTCCTCGCTTTGAACATTGCAAGCCCCTCTATGGAACCAGGCCACCAACCGATCAAGCCGCCGGGGGTGTTTCCACAGCAAACGGCGCAGGTGGTGGTGCCGGTGTCTCGCATTGCCAGCCCCCACTGCACCACGATTGTCTCCTAGGAGCTGGAGGTGCAATCCGCCGCGGCATCGGGGAGTCATTCACCAAACATGGACGGGATTGGGATTCATGGGGCGGCAGACTCGTTTGCCCTCCTCCCCGCCAATTCAGAGCAGAATGTCGTAACTGCGCAGGGTCATCTAGGCACATGGGTGCTGATTGCCGGACTCGAGAGTCGTCAAGTGCAAGAACCGCCAACAGGAGGGTCATGAAGCCTTGAATTGCACCAATCCCAAGTTTGTCGACAATACCCGTGTTGATGAGAAGTCTGAGGACGAGGATGCTTGGGACCTACTCCAGCAAGCCAGTGATAGGCCACGATATTGGTGACTTTACGGAGGCGCTTCAAATCCTCTCTCCAAGGCTAAACCCGAGGACACCTACCCCGTCGTGCTGGAGACAGAGTTTCGCAAGTGTGGTTTCAGTATCTACCTGATTGCTATGGTATGTTGAGAGGCTCAAGGTGATTGACGGGAGACTCATCATCCCTACGGCCGCCGCATGCGCCAAAAAGCAAAAGAAACAGAACAAGTCAAGAGATATACGGTCTCGGCCCATCGCTCTCGGGGTGATGATTTCGCCGGAACGAGGGACGAAGTTAACAATGACACGAATGTCTTGCCAAAAAGGAGATTGTTTGAACTTGGATTGATTGAACTTGGATTGATTGAACTTGGATTGATTGAACTTGGATTGATTG